TATATATCGGATGACGACATAAAAATGTCTATCGCTTCATTTTACGCTATCGTTTGTTTCGTGGTGTCGCAAAATAAACTGTTTACGGCAATATTTTTTCATCGTTTTGATGGTCACTGTAGTGGCTATATTAATTTCTTAAAGTTCTCTCTTTCTCTTATATTTAATATAACCACACTATGGACGGACAAGCGTCTGTTTTTATGCGTTTTGGTTAGCAACAACGACGGTAACAGCATTGTGTGTCCGCTTGTTTATGTTCCACATAAATCTTTCACAATAAAGCTCAAGATCCTTTTGAGACTTTTCAAAATAAACTGAATCACGTGTAAAAAAGTAAAAAGTAAAAAAGAGCCGCCAGGTGCTAAAAAATAAACCTTAGACTCAAACGTTAGAACAGGCCTTCCCCCGCAGCACGCTGTGTAATAAATACTCACAAAGAAAACGGCGGCCGTTACAACATGTCTAAAAATGTATAGTTTCATGCATCTGTTAAAACACTCAACTCCAGCTACATGACGCGCAGCTGGAAACACTTCCCGCAAGTCGAGCTGCCCGAGATTCACAGAATTTACAGAAAATGTTACATTTTTGTGATTTATATCGTTATCGGATGATAGAATTCTTATATCGGGATATGAGATTTTGGTCATATCGCACAGCCCTAGCTAAAGCTATGATCTAGTTCCAGTTAAGTGACTAAAGCCAAAAAACAAACAAATATGCAAACCTATGTGTATTTCTTTAACAAAAGAAAATTTTAATATTTAACAGCTTTACCTTTAACATTCAGATCATGTTATCCTTCACTACAGTTTAGAGTTAAATCATACATTGGCCAGAGCCAGAGGAAAGGGCAGTGAGGGAGAGCAGAAATTGGTGAGAGGAATACAAAGTGCTGCTTCACCATTTTGTCCATTTCCAGCTAAATAAGATCTTCCTCCGCCTCCTCCACCTCTCCTGCTATGGCCTCTGGCAGGCAACTGGGAAAATACATTTCTCACATTATAACCCCTCAATATTTCTCCTGTGGCTCATCGAAAGTATGGCTGTCTCTCACTCTGTGTGTGTGTGTGTGTGTGTGCTGTGTGTTTTGTTTGCGTGTGTGCGTGTGTGTAAGTGTGACTACCTCCTCTCTTCTATTTGGTACTTTATAAAGGATGGTCCAAAGTTAAATGTTGGCAGACAAAATACTTTAACTCCAAAGTTTTAAAGAGAGGCAGTTCAATGTCAGAGAAGCAAACTAATAATAGCTGGATAAATTTAAGCCGGGTAAGTAATTGAGAAATGCTTTTTCTGCCACTCATTAGGTAATGCAGAGGTGTCCTTGAGCCGGTCAGTGTCTAACAGACTGTGACTATAACAGGCAACTCCCCTGTGCATTTTTGTGAAAGTGATGCAAAGCATTGCTGCAAATAAGCACTGATGCACTTACTACCCTTGCATGAATAATGTTACAAATAAGAATTTTATAATAATCTATTTTTTAAATCTATTCATTGTCATTGCCACTTAACAAGACATTACAAATTTGGCTTAAACCAGCCACAGTTTCCCACAAACTACACAAAACAGATTATTTATATAGTAACACATTTCCATTTTTTCCATTTTCATAAAGATACACAAGCCTGAAGTTGTTACTTTATAATTATTGAAAGTCTCCTAGATGCAATATGGCACATTAATTACAGATACACCTCCCAAGCCATTAGAAGTAGTGACAGAAAGGGTTTACAGCAAGCTGCAAGGCAAACTTGCCATTTTCAATTATTCATTCATTTGCTCACTCATTCAAGTACTTTTTCATCAGTGGCTAATCAGTCATTTATTCATCATTTCTTACATTCAGTCAGTTCTTTGTTCATTCATTAGTTGACACATTCAATTCATTCATTCAGATGTTCATTCACCTGTCATGTATTTGTCCATGCATTCTTTCTTATACTCATTCCACAATTAGTCCACTCAATTAATTTTCTATTCATTTTCAAAGTCAGCTCAGAAGAAAGGTGTTGATGAGGTGGTCCAACAGGAAAGGCACAACAGCATTCTGAATTGATCCAAGTCCCGTGGTCTATAAAAATATATAACTGCTCAACATACTATAGTCAGCAGGGTTCATCAGACTTTAGGTAAATAACTTCACCACATATAGCTAAAGGAAATGAAAGGGAAGAAAATGATCTTGTGATTTTAATAATGGAAACCATTACAGGATAGAATCACAACACAAGTTACAATCAACTCTGCAGATAAACCAACAAAAACCTATTATTGAACTGAAGTTACCCACATACAAATCCACTGATCATGACTATGTAGACAAATAAAATTCCTACAATGGCAAAGGACTATAAAATCCAATCTGGTCTAGAACATCTAGATATCCCAGAGAGCTAATATATCCTTTTTATACTTTTGTGGCTATGCTTATTAAATTTGAACCTGCTTATTTAATGCTTAATTCTGTATTCTGTGTTGTCAGGCAAGCATCTAGAGTCACAGGCAAGCATCTAATATGCCCTTTGTATTTATGTTTTAAAAAGTACAATACAAAAAAGTTTGCATCTTTTTTTTTTATTTTAAAATAGGTCAAATTTTAAAACAAAAAACCTTGCACTTTTGCATTTTCAGTGCCAGTGGCACTATCACTGATTCTAATTGTTGGGTAAAAACTTTAGGAGTGCTAGTTTAAAGATGAATGTACTGCAAACAGTTCAAAAGCAGAATTAATGTAATTTTAAACATGGCTTGGTCTAAATTTACAGAATGTTAATGTTTTAAAAATAAAGTGTTCCTGTTTCAACTCCCTAGTTGATGCTGGGAGCATCAGGCTTTTACTGTGTTTGTGTAGATTGGTAGCACAAAATGTCTGGCTACATATATTTAAAAATATGTTGTACTATCAATAAATAAAATAGGAAAACATATGATGGAAAAAAAGAGCCTGATACATGCTGTGCTTTGTAGCTCTTTTCTACACAGTCCGATACTCTTAGCTCCAGTGCTGAATGCTGACGAGTTTACCTAAAACTATTTCTAAATCTGACTAGATGCGGACTCCACTTCCTGCATCACCACCCAATATGATAACCATTTTGGCTGACAGTGCAGTCAAGAGCCATTTACAAAAGGTGCTCAAGATTTTATGACCAAACAAGCATGAGGTTCTACACTTTTATTTCTTTAGATTTTTGCATCACAGATGATATCTACATTTGATGCCAGCAAAAGCAATAAAAACTACATGTTCACGCAAAAACTACTAAAGCCTGTTGGTAAAATTTTAAGTCTTGACACATATGCCATTAAGGAGGTTGGAAACATAAGACTTTGTCATTAAACATGTTCATTAAACAGTTCTCAGATTTAACTTGATAGCTCAGGGTTTCTTAGTTTTTGACTGGTCAGTTAGCCTAATTCTTTTTTCACATTTAGTTGATTTAGAAATTAGTCACTAGGAATATCCCTAGAAGAAAGGCAAGATGAAGTGCTTGAATCAAAAGAAATCTCTTGTGCAATAAGGTTAGACACTCACAATTTGATCTGCATGGAGGAAACAGTGTTGAAAGGGTGGTTCAGCTAGCTGTCATGCTCCTTGTTTCTTATGAAAACCCCCAAAAATATCAGCCCACTGAAGGATAATTGCATAATTATGATTAAGGAACTGACCTCCCTGCCCATTGTTCCTTTAGTGGGCTGGTTCCAGTCATTATGCAAATGTACTATTTATAAGATTTGGGGAAACCTGCAGTCAGCTGAGACTGAAGAAGTCACTTGGATGAGTGACGAAACGTTTCTCCCACAAAACGCTACGTCCATATTTAGTCAAAAGACTATGACTAGAACTAAATGGCCTTTATTTGTATAGCGCTTTTACTAGTCCCCCCTAGGGACTCCAAAGCGCTTTACACACCCAGTCATCCACCCATTCACACACACACTCACACACTGGTGGTGGCAAGCTACAGTTGTAGCCACAGACTGTAGACTGTAGCTACAGACTGACAGAAGCGAGGCTGCCATATTGCGCCATCGGCCAACACCAGTAGGCGGTAGGTGAAGTGTCTTGCCCAAGGACACAACAACAGAGACTGGCCGAGCCAGGGCTCGAACCGGCAGCCTTCCGATTACAAGGCAAACTCCCAACTCTTGAGCCACGATCGCCCCTAAATCAAGAACAAATAATAAAACAATACCAACGTTGCACATCATCCCAAAATTGCTGAAATATGTGTCATATGCCTGTTGTTGATATAATTAGGAGGCTTATATTGTAACTCAGAACATGTATTACTTACTTTAATGAATCAAATACAAAGCTGGTGAACAGACTTTATTCATATTGTAAATACATTACAATGACTTTCCCCTCACTATCCTTTTGGATTAAACTGTTCCACTATAACTTCAATAAAACCACACCACCCTCTTTTACTAATCCGGCAACCGGCGCATCACAGAAACCTCAGCACGCTGCTATCAGTTGTGGGTATTCTGGCATCCTCACCAGCCTTATTAAACTACTGATAAGTAAACCGTAACACTTCCTATTCTGACAGATTTCAAAATAAAGTCATTACTCGCCACACTGCACCAGTGTTTGAGTGAGCAGTGCCAAAAAGCACCAATAGAAACTCTTTCCAAACAAAACACACTTTGCATGCAGCAGCTGTTGACAGCCCGCATTAGCTTGCTCTGCTTATTCATGCGTGTCCTTTTGTCATCGTCAGAAACACAGGAGGGCGTAGTGACGCAGAAAACGTGACAAGCACACTTTTTTATAAGACTTTTCTTTAAAACACATATTGGCACCAATGGAATTTATTGCAACTAAGAAACGGCATGTCAAGAGCCTCTCTCTGAGTTACTTCCTGGGAATTCTGACTAACCCAGACTAGCTTAAAAAACACCGGTAGGTTAAACCTGCACATCCCTTTCAGTGAGTAGCGTGGCCATTTTACATGAAAAACACATTTTTACGGTTGAAACATTACCTCTTTCTTCTTCTGTCCTCCCCCCGGTGGCAGACATACCATTAGGCAGAAAAAAACAGCCAAGACCTGCAGGTTAACAATGGCTTTAGCCCAAACAGACGCCATGACGGAAGGATGCTATGAATGCGAGACACGTCTCGACCAAGCGATTGGATCCTATGTTATCCAATCAGCGAAAAGGATTTGAATATGGAGACCTCTGGGGTTTGTAGTTTAAACGTTCACAGTACTGTCCTGCTAATACGTTTCTAATCCATGCGTTGGAGGAGGCGTAGCCAAAAAACTGTATTATTTCCATGATTTAGGTTTGCCTCTCATTTATAATCTATGACCCTGACCTAAGTAGTTAATGAAAAAAGCCAGCCTGTAGTCACATCATGATTCTGTAGAATTATGATTTCAGGGCAACCAAGTGAAGCTAAAAATATACATATATGAAATAAGTACTTATTTGAATACATCAAAAAATAGGATTGTGAGAAGCCTGGCAGTGCTGGTGTTAACAAAACTGATCTTGCAATAAATATTGCCTTTGTGAAAACCTTCAACTTTTAAAGCAACATGCATTTTATATTATAATTTACTTGTTTATTCATTCTGTGGTCTTAAGTCACAGTCCGTTGGCAGTCTGTGGGCAGCTTCAGACCGCCCATCTACACAGAGAGAGAGAGTCTGTTTTCTGATGTGGAAGTATCAATAAATGTGGTACAACCGGTTTGTGGGTTTCCTTGTGCTGTTTTTGATCTGTCAGACAAATACAGAGAAGAGCAAAGTTAAAACATATAAGGAGCTGAGGTTAAACCCATGTCTGTTTTGGTCTGGTCCCAGTGTCAAGCCCATGTCTCTTAATTCTTTGTTTGCATGATACTTCCTGTGTGATATGATACTTCCTGTTTTATTTTGTCACTCTCTCGTCCTGTGTTCAGTGTGTTCACTTTTGCTTACCCTGTCCTCTTAGTCTGTATTAGTTTCAGCCATGTTTCCTCCTGTTTCCCATCCTCTTGTTATCCCATGTATATTTAAGTTCTCTGTCTTCCTCTGCTCGTTGTTGTGTAGTGAGTTTACTGTGTTTCCTTATGTGCCATGTTTCCCTTGTAATTCCTAGTTGTTATCTGATAGTAGTTTATTACTATTTTCTAGTTTTTGAGTTTCATATGTTTGTACTTTTGAGTATCATGTTACAGTGAATAAAGCTGCCTCTTTTAGTTCACTCCTTTGTGTCCGAGTCTTGCAATTGTGTCCTACCTCCACCTGCCACACTGTAGTTCATGACAGAATGGCTTGACCCAGTGGACTGTATCCGTAAGATCTGGAACTATGTTTTGTTCTGCTAATTGCTGACAATCCTTTCTGTTGCTTTACCAAACCAGCTACCTTGGAAACTGTTTCTGCTACCAAGCCAGCTCTGCCTAAAACTGCTTTTTCCTAGCAAGTACCATGTAAAATAGTTAATCATATTCCTAAGCGAGTCAATTACACCACTCTGTCATGTGTTGGTCAGCCTGAGAAAGTTGAGTCAGTGTGTCGTGTGTATCAGCCAACAGCCCCAGAGACTGAATATTGTGTTACTAAGCTTGTTACTCCTGTAACTGTATATTTTGAGACTAGTAATGATGCTTGTGCCTCCTGGTCAGATCCTTCTGAGACTGTTTCCCCTGCTGCGAAAACTGGATTCCCCCAGAGATTGAGGCTCTGCCCAAAGCCTATCCAGAGAATGAATTTGTGGCCTCAGCCAACTCTGGAACCCCAGTAGTCCTTGAACACAACTTCCTGCGTCTGCTGGGTGCTCAGCTGACCCATTCCAGCTTCCTGCAGATTCCGCATGCCTCAGTGACTTAGCCAGAGGGACTCGTGCCGCCTGAACCTGTGGTCTGAGGGGTCACCGGAGCCTACTATGTAACCTGCGAAGTCCCAGCCTGTCGCCTGAGGGTCCCCACCTTTGTCGCCGGCCTTCCGGTTGGCCTACCAAAAACTTTAGTCTTTTTTTTTTATTTTTAGTGTAAAATATAAGCAGAGGGCAAGTAAACATTCCGTATAAATCAGTCAAAAGATTGATAAATCAATCAATCAGTCTGTCAAGTTAAGATATATTTAATCGAAAACTGAAGCATGTGTTTTTTAAGGACTGAGAGAAGTTACTAGCTCAGTTCCAGTGGCTGTTGCAGACTGTAATGGCTTTCTGGAGAGAAAAAACCTCCCCCAATGCTTCTCATCTAAACCACTGTTTTTAAGGGGAAAATGAATATATGTGTATGTGAATGAATAAATAATGAGTATATGAAAACACACAGACACAAACAAAAACCCGCGTGTGTCTGTGTTAAATTAAACGCATAATGGACTATTAAAGCCAGTGCACCATGAAACAATCAGTACATGTTACAGACTTGTTAATTCACAGTTCATTCACTCGATAGCGCTCAATCATGGAAACATTCCCAGACTTGTTGGCCGTGGCTGCAAAACGATTTCCTGGGAATTACCTTACTTGGTTATTGTTTAAGTTGTACTGCAGATTGCACCTGGTAAAAGTTTTGATCAGATGACCTCTGGAATATTTCTGTTTTCCTTAAATCTTTATTTCAAGATATAGAAAAACAGCATTGTATTGTGCCAGGAAATGCAATTTCATCTAATCCATTTTTCTTGGATAAGGATAAGGAAGCACTGCTTTAGTTAAATTAGGATTACTGGAAGTCTCTCACTGTCCCATAATTCTTCTCTGGGGCACTGAAGCATTTTCATGTCAATCCTCTATGTTTTTCTCAAAGTATCCAGCACTCAGCAGTGACCTATAAGTTGCTGTCAAACTTTATACTGCGAGGCAGGGGAAAAAAGTGACCCTCTCGTGAGTTTTTGCTCTCTTTGCATCTAGCAAAGCAAACAGCCGCACTTTGCATTTAAGTAGAATAAAACTCCTGTCTGATCTGAAGCTAGAGGAACAGAGGGAGAGCAGAGGGAGAGCAGGGGGAGAGAGACACAGAGAATCATGTTAAGTCAGTTGCTGCTACTGCAGAACTCAGTCATGCTTCTTTAGACCAGTGTGACAGGTAAAATTACACACTGCATGTTTTGGATGGGGGGTTTGTGTACTGACACAAAGCAACAAGGAGGGATACACAGAATCAGAGAGGTTAGTGTGAAAGATGGAAAAATGAATTCCATCTCATTTAAGGAATTTTGTGTGCTGTAACTAAGTTTAAATAAATAAATCAATTGTTTTGCTTATTTTTTGTAAAGTAAAAATTGCATTCAGTACAGTGCTAATCCATTTTCATTTTTATTTGAAGACATCTGCACAGAATGCATTTGCTGCACTGAGAGCCCAATTCATAGGGCCACAAAGGCAAGAGAGGAGAGGCCAACATGAAGTTGCCAGTTAGTCTCCTGACATATAGGTTCTATATATAAATTTGTGGGGGAAAAATGGTAGTCTGAGTTGCCAGGTGTCCACCAAGAAATTTAAAGGATTGAGAATGTTTTTGTAAAGAGGAGTGGAACCAAAATTTCTCCTGAATTGTGTGCAAAACTGGTGACCAACTACAAGAAACATCTTACCATTATGTTTGCCAACAAGGGTTTATCCACCAAGTACTCAGTCATGTTTTTCTTGAGGATTAAATGCTTATATCACTCAGTGACATGCAAATGAATTTATAACTTTCATGTAATGTGGTTTCTTTTCTGTATTTTTTTGGTTGAAACTTTTACTCTCTCCAATAAAATGAAGCTACCATAAAAATGAGACACTGTTCATTTCTTTGTATGTGAGCAAACTTACAAATTCAGCAGGGGATCAAATAATTATGTCCTCCACTGTAAATGAGAGGCAAAGAGAGAGCTTGGAAGCACAGACAGGAGAGGGGAAAGATGGGTGATGGCATTTCCAGCTAGCACAGTAGCGAGTACCCGTAACAAGGGTCAGACTCTCCCATATGAAAAATCACAAGGACTAAGAAAAGTGATTAATTGCTCTGCAACACAAAGTTTACAGAAAGAAAAAACAGAAACAGTGGAGCTAGATGGAGGTGGTTGTGGTCTCTGAATTGCAGAGCTGCAGGAAAAAGGAAAATAGTGCAGCCAACAGAAAGGTTGAGAGAATGCAACAATAAAAGGGAAACAAGAGAGTGGAGGAGCGAGAGAGACAGAGAGATTGGAATATGAAGGAACTGGAGGCAAAGATAGCAGCAGGGAAGTTAGAGCGAGTCATGTATCGAATGAGCGTACATAGGAAAAGAGTCAGACAAACAGAGAGGGAGGAGCAAAGAGATTGACTGAGGCATTCATTAATATGATGTTCGTTATCTCTGACGGACTCCCTCAACAAATGTTCCTCTGTTCTCTAGTATGCCATTCAATAAGTCTATGGCTGTGTGTGTGTGTGTGAGACAGAGAAACAGAGAGTGGGAGTTATTGTGTGTTTTCCTATGATTATGTGTTCATCAACTCTCAGTCTTAGCTCTGTACAACAATAATGCACTACTGCTAAATATGATATGACTGTGCAAAATGATAAACAAACCTTTCTTGTAACCGTATGGCTATATGTTTTGCTTCACTTGGGAATGCGTTCTGTGACAATATTATGTATCATAACCACACATCTCTTAGGGCTAGTGATAGATGCTAAAGTCAATTATAGATATTAACAATACTTTTAAAGCACAGGTCTTGAAGATTTTTAGACTGAATAGTCAGCATTTCTGACATTTCTTCCTAACATCTTGTCACCCTATGTTTCCCATTTTCTTCCTGGTCTGTGCAACTTAGTGCTTGACAAGCCGTTATCGTCACCTCTTTTAAATATTCCTCTCATTCTTTTGTACCCAACTACATTGCTCTTCTTCCCCGTCAGCTCTGTATTAGTTTGCTTTGCTCTCCTCTGGTCATCATCTTCTCTTCGCTTTATTTTCCTCACCTCGTTTTATGATTACACCTTCTTGCAAACATTTTTTAAAAGGTGTTTTATGGATGAGGAAAAGCCCTGGCAGTCAGCAGGCGGCAACAATTTACTATTAAGTAAAGGAATTAGGACAGTTTACACCATAACATAACAAAAAAGAAAGAAATTTTGTCAATCTATATATATGATCTATTCACTGACTCTTTTGCAGTATTTTTCTGTTCCCAGGCAATCACAG